ATGTCATCAATTCTTGAGAACAATACATGGGTGTTGTCTAATTTGCCTCCGGGTTCTAAACCTCTTGGATGCAAATGGATTTTCAAAAAGAAAATGAATGTTCATGGGACCATTGACAAATTCAAGGCCCGGTTAGTCATTCAAGGTTTTAGACAAAAAGTCGATATTGACTATTTTGATACGTATGCTCCAGTTGCACGTATTTCTACTATTAGATTGTTGGTTGCCTTGGCAAGTATCCACAATCTGGTTATTCACCAAATGGATGTGAAAACAGCCTTTTTAAATGGTGATCTTGACGAGGAAGTTTACATGAAACAACCAGGTGGTTTCATTATGCCCGGTAAAGAGCATATGGTTTGTAAACTTGTCAAATCTTTGTATGGGCTGAAACATGCGCCTAAACAATGGCATCAAAAATTTGATGAGGTGATTTTGTCTTTTGGTTTCAAAACAAACCAATGTGACAAATGTGTTTATAGTAGATTTGATGATGCTACTAGAGCTGGAGTGATCATTTGCTTATGTGTAGATGACATGTTGATTTTTGGCACCGACCAAAATCAAGTGGATGAAACAAAGAAATTGTTGTCATCCAAGTTTTCCATGAAAGATTTAGGAGAGGCTGATGTAATTCTTGGAATAAGAATTAAGAGGATGAACAAAGGATTGGTAATGACTCAAAGTCATTATATTGAGAAAATACTCAAGCGGTTTAATTTTACCGATTGTTCTCCTGTGAGTACTCCTATGGACCCAAGTGTGAAATTAATGACAAATAATGGTATTCCCATTTCACAGTTGGAATACTCTAAGGCTATTGGTAGCTTGATGTATGCCATGACAAGTACTAGACCTGATATTGCGTTTGTTGTGGGTAAGTTGAGCAGGTACACTAGCAATCCTAGTGCTCAACATTGGCAAGCAGTGAATAGAGTGTTTAAGTATCTCAAGGGAACCATGAATTATGGTTTGAGTTACTTAGGGAGTCCTTCGGTTTTAGAAGGTCATTCAGATGCAAGTTGGATTACCAACATGGAGGACCATTCCTCAACTTCTGGTTGGGTATTCTTGCTTGGGGGAGGTGCCATTTCTTGGGCTTCCAAGAAGCAATCTTGCATTACAAACTCGACAATGGAATCTGAGTTTGTTGCGTTAGCAGCTGCTGATAAAGAAGCAGAGTGGCTAAGGAATTTAGTCTATGAGATTCCTTCGTGGTCTAAACCGATAACACTTATTTCTATCCTTTGTGATAGTGTTGCCGCTTTGGCTAAGGCATATAGCCAGGTTTATAATGGCAAGTCTAGACACCTAGGTGTTAGACATAGTATGATTATAGAACTAATCATGAATGGTGTGATTTCGGTTGAGTTTGTGAAGTCGCAACATAATTTGGCAGATCACTTGACTAAAGGTCTGACAAGAGACTTAGTGCACAAGTCTGTGATCAGGATGGGATTAAAGTCCATTTAATTCTATAATGATGAGACACCCAATTCCCTCCTAATATAATGTTAGGAGTTGAATTCAATGTGGAAAGCTCATATTTATAGATTGGAACACATGAAGTATTCATCCCAGGTAGTGTTCGGTTCTGCAAGTTAGCCAGGTTGAAGTTTAACTTCTTAATAATTTCTTTGATAAATGTATGTGCAAATATATGGAAAGGAGTTACCTACGTGATTATGAAGTGTAGCCGCATTTCAAGAGGTTGTGGACTTGACCTTGATACATCATGAGAGGATTGGGACACACGGCTTTATGATAGTGTCAAGTTGTATTATGCTAGAAATTCAATAAACTAGTATGTATTTTACTTTCTGGTATTTAAATGGGTTGATGGGTTAGAACACCCTGATTCTCGAGTATTTGCAATTGTATGATACTAAGTGGAAATTCAATCGTTACGATAATTTCATTATGTACTAGTTTGGTTTGTTGGTGATAAGGTTATGTTTGTTCAAGGTTTACACTAAAATGGGTGAGGATTGTTGGTGATTTTAGTGTCACCATGTCATTTTAAGTAACTGGAACTAACATTGTGAGCTAATGGGCTTCATGGTTTGTACTCTAAGACATGTACGAGATTGTGTGGAGTGCACGCATGTATAAGATCGAGTCAAAAACCGGTTCTACGGCTAGTCGGGGGTCCGGGGGCAGCTCCCACGGGTCCAGGGTTTCCAAAGGAGCAGCACCCCTAGCGGGGTCCAAGGGGCAGAGCCCCCACGGGGTTTGGGGCAGCGCCCCAAAACCTCACCGAATTTTACATGTGGGAACATAATGGAAAATTCAATTTCTTGAGGGTGATTATGGTAAAACTAACGAAATTCATTAGTTTTGGTAACCCTAATCCGAATTAATATTACTTGCTTTCAAAGCAAGTAATGACGACCCAACCCTAATGAAACCCTAATCGTGTTTAGTATATAAACAACTCTTCCTTTTCAGAAGACGGTTGTTCTTTAGCTCTCGTTTTTCATCACACATTCACAGAACCCTTTAGCATAATAGTTTACGTTCTCTGTGCCTAGAAACGTAGGTGTCCGTTTGGATTATCCTAGACTGAATTTCTTGTAACCCATGCATAGGGTAGAAAATCAGTTCGGAAAGTGATATCATGATCCAAGCTGGTATCCAGATCTCCACCGCAAACCCTAAATTTCCCAACATATACTTATACCTAAAACCTTAAGCATGCTATCTTTTTTTATTCTTTTTTCAATTATACCCCTGCTGCATCATTTTCTACCGTTCATTTCTTTTCAGACCTGCAGAAATTCAAAGATCAAAAATAAGTTGTGCTCTCAACATCAGTTTTTCTTCTAAACCATCATCAATCATCAACAGCTTTTGCTTTGACTTTCAGACCAGCTGCGAGCACCTCAAGACTTAGGTTTTAATGTTCTTTATCCTTTTAACTGTGACACTTCACAAGTAAATAAATACAACTTACATCCTAATCATCCCTTGTATCAGTGTGTAGATCTAATTACAAAGAAGCCCATGCTTTCCATGCAGTATTTACCCATACAAAACTTACAAAAGTGCTCTTGTCTTTATATCTCCCAACACCCATGTGACTTAAACTTTTAATAACATCTTGTAATTTCACAAAAAAAAAAAAAGAAGACAATAGCGACTCTTTTCTTTTAGCATGATGTGCTCTCTTTCCTGTAATTCTGAGATCGATGGGATATATGACTTGTTTTATTGTATAGTGTGTCCACCTAAGTGAAAGACGAGACCTATTATATTTGTGTACCTGTAGTAGTCCATTAAAAAAATAAATAAATAAATAAATCTTATGTCACAAGGTTAACAGGAGCAATATTATGAAATACCCCAGAGTAAGTATTCGATAACCAATAGATAAACACCTTTTGTGTCGATGTCGATATCGACTTTTCAACTAGTTGAAGGTCAACACCAGCCATCACTCTCATTCTTCGAACACGCCCTAGGAGTATCAGACTATGAAACTACATGATGGATAAACAAGAACTCCTTATCTCTTTATGCAACAAATGATAGGGGACTACTCATAGTTCCTTTTTAGATTGAATCTCATCTGTTCTACGTATCAGCCTCCATTACATTTCTTGAAACATGGATACTTGTGTCGGTTTACTCCACCTTGGAGATTGAGTAAACCGGTTGTTAGGAATTGCCTAAAAAACGTCCATGTGAAAGACAGACGAAGAACCCACTAAAGTCTTTGGGAACACCTACCAACAAAAACATCTGGCACTTTTTTTTTCTTAAAAAAATGAGCATTTTCATTGACCAAAGAGAATCGAGATGAGTTACCTTTGACAGTCTTTCCATGCCATTTTCTTTTAAAGAGACGATGAAAAGAATTTCTTGACGCAGCGTAAGTCTTGTTGCAACGAAAACTTATTAGAACTGTTCAAAGAAAATAACAACAGTGCCCTTTTCCATGACTCCACATGATATTTTCGTTTGTCACTTTCAACATTTTCCTCCAAACACGTGACTATTGCAAAAGAAGGTGCTGACCCCAAGACTTGTAGTGACGTTACCAAATTGTCCCTGTTGTGAGGTACCACCGGAATATAGCTTTTGACCCTTTGTTTTAGTTCATGTTTTTCCATTGACATAACTATAAACAAACGATCCACATATACAGCTATCCTTCAAACAATGTCTTGATCACCAACCTTCACATTTTTTGAAGTGTAGAGCCAATGTGTAGACAACTTTGAAGACACGTCATGATTCACAGTCAAATATACCGCAGTAGTGTTGATTCCATACTCATCTTGTTTCACTTAGCCAACTAAGGCCTGATCCTTGTCCAAGACTTCACATACAAATGTACAAATTGTATATGCAGAGATAACTTTTTTAATACGACATGAAACATACTAACACATACTAGCAGGTCCTTGACCAAAAGAGTTGAAAAAGAATTGTCCTATATTCTACAAAACCTTTCAAAACAAAACTTATAGAAATCTATTTAACATTAGAAAAATAGAAAATATATAGAAACACTTTTTCATACTTTTTGCTGAATGAGAGAGACATTAAAATATGAAGTTTGAAAATTCGGAGTCTCATGTATCATCATATTTTACTAAAAGACTTAGGAACCCATTTGAGAACGAGCTTTGAAACATACGTCGTAACTTCCGAATTCCTTAGACTAGATGAAGAAATGTTAGTTCCACAACTCTAAACCCCCATTTCTTTTTGTAACGTACTTCAACAACCTTTCCAAGACACTTCATATTCCATTTTTTTTGTCTGAGTTCTTTACATGGCTTTGTTTCAGGTTGTGAAGACAATTTTTTGGTAACCCACACTTGCTTCAACTTCCTTGGATCTAGTGATGACTTATCTGGAACCCACATCTTCTTTGGCTTAGTGTGATTCAACTTCCTTTTCTTTTCGAATGATGCTCTATAAGGAGAGTTATTGAACCAACAACATATAATAGAAAACTTACCAGCTTGAGATCGCTTGTCAGTGTCAAGAGTCTAGTCAGCTTGATCAAACTTATCAGTGTGAACTGATTTGTCAGTGTGTAAGGTCTTAACAATGCGATACTTCTTGGTAGTGCAAACTTTCTCAGGTTGAAGCTTGTCAGTGTGAACAGCTTGTGATTTCTCAGCGTGAAGCTTGTTGGTGCAAGAACGGATGTGATGTTCATCAGTGTGAAAAATAGGGCTTCTTGAAGATGAACATTCTTTTGGTACTTTCTTCTTCACACCATTTTCTTTAATCTTCTCATTCAAATATAATATTTCTTTCTTACTTTCAGTCAGTTCCTTCTTCAACACTTCAATATCTTCTTGATTTTGATTGGTGATTTTGTCTTTCCGATCAAGTTCAGCAATGAAAAACATAGATAGAGGAGCCTTTGGATCATATATTAGATCTGAAAAACATGATAAAGGGCTTGCATCGCCTGCTCTTGTATTTTTTTTGAACTATTATGTTTTTCTTCATCATCAAGAACACATGTATCTTTGTTTATTCTTCCACTTAAGTATTGTTCTCTCATCTTAGAAACATTATAAGGACCAAACATACATGAATTAATCATAAAGTACCATAGATAGGGAAAAATACCACACTTTCTCATCTCTGATTCTAAAATATTCTGCATATCTGGACGATTTCTTCTTCTTCTTCTCCTTCTGATTTTCTAGTTTCTAAATAGTGAATAAACTTATGAATCTTCAACAGATCCTATAATGAATGTTTTAGCCCGCTCTGATACCAATTGAAATTCTCAAACCCTTTGTAGATTCGTAAATCGAATAAAAACAAGAAGAGCAATAAATAACAATGAAGAAAACAGAAGTATCACCAAATTGTTCTTTCACCAAGAAAGGGTTTTGTTTTCATCAAGAAAATGGGTTGTCACAAAGACGGTCATAAAGACATTCACTGCATTAGGGTTTCATCGTAATGTTAAAGCTTATCTCTCAAAAGCTTATCAGAACATCAACTTCAGCATCAGGGAGATAAACTTCAACTTTAGTCATCAACATCAGGATCAAGCTCACCAGCTTCACTTCAACAGATAGTGAATGACCATCAGTGAGTATCATCAGCGTATCATTTGATCAATGTGTCATCAATGTATAACTATCAGCGTTTGGACACATTGATCAGTCTTTAGTAGATTATTTCTTCATGCCTTTGGTGCTGATAGAGTCTTTAGGGTCTTTTAGTCATCATGGGATGTTTTTCAGTCTTCGACATATGAGCTTTCATCAGCATATCTTCAGATTAACTAACTATAACTATAGTGTATCTGTTTTGCATCATCAAATCATTACAATTGAGTGACCCAACAAAACTAGTTAGTATATAAATTGCATGCATAACTAATTAAAAAGGATATTATGCCTTGTTATTTCTATTTGAGATGTTTTTTTATTTATTAGACATTTAATTATGTGTGCATATCCTTATGGTGTGTTAGAAGGGTTGTTAGTTAATCACAACATGTCGATCATATTTATAAACATTTATGTGGCTCAAGATATGATTACAAAGAGGATAATTTGTAATTCATTTGTGACTCTTCTTAACCAATGAACGGTTAAGTATGTTATTTACATGTATATTTAGAGCTCTGTGTTAATTCAGAGTGGTCTATGTCGATATTTTATCATGAATCTATATACTCATTTAACGATTTCATTACAAACATCGGTCATTTAGTATTTCTATGGGGTCAATTGTTAACTTGTGTAAATGAGGAATAAGAACAAACTAAAATGAGTAAACTTTGAAATTTTTTACTCTTCAATAAGGTGATAGAAAGGTTCCTAAATATTTTGATTTCATTTTGGATTGATAATGGTGTTATCATGTCTATTCTTCTTAAAAATAAGGTTACCAAATATTTTCTAACCCCCCCCCCCCCCTTCAAACTCTTCCAGTCTTAGGTTTCAATAGACATGTTAGAGTATTTGTTTTGGCATGTTGGACTGAAATTGAAAATGTTACATACATGGTTGGTTTCCAAAAGAAGACTCGAGTTCTAAAGAAATACTTAAAACAATGGATTTCAAGAAAGAAGAAGATTCAAGGAAGAAAAAAGGGTTGTGTTGGGTTTGGAGCACTACAACAATCCTATGGTGCATATGCAACCCTAAATGCTTTGGATCTATGTTTTCTCTAATTATACATGTATTTTTCTTTTCCAAATCATTCTCCCTATCTAGCATACAATTGAAGCTATATAACATAAAACTTTGGTTTGGATGCTTACCTCTTGAGTAGGGTAGAGTTCTTGACCTTTTAAAGCATAAGCACCTCAAGTGTTATGCCTCTAATGGTTTACAAACACCAATATGCAAGATGAGGCTTTTAGAGACTAAGTTACTTGACTCCAATGAGGGTGTAGCTGATTTTGGCTTAGGGAGGTTCTATTTATAATGTGACAAATGCTAGGGTTACACTTTGTAAACCCTAATAACCCATGACTTTCCATATTCTCATGCTCCATGGGTTTAACCTCCATGGACTATCAACGGATTAGTTTATTGGTTTTGCCCAACTATAATGTCATGGATCATTAGCCCACATTACAAGAATCATTTATTTACATAATCAATCCCCATATATTTAATTAATCTCTTTTGATCACAAAATTAACTTCAAATTAATTCTTGATCAATACTAATTAAATAATATTAACATATTAAAGTTGTAATATATTAATAAATTAAAAATAACCTTATTCTCAAAAATCCATATTATCAAATTGCACTAGTGAAGGCAACCCAAAAGAACCATGCTACTATCGGTTCAAGTACATCCCAGTTATAGTTATGGGCTTAGACACCAAATCCAACAGTATCCCACTTGGATAAGTCTAATAACTATATCTGCCAATGTGACTTCAGGATCCGACTTAGCAGTCATATGCTTTCAAAATCCATTGTCAACTCTGACCCAGTCGGTGACACATCCTTTAGATAAGGGATCATATAATCCTCTATTCTCAAGATATCAGCTGGAAAAATACATGGAACAAGGTCATACTTATTTTCCATCAGTTTGTTTCCCGATTTCCGATTCGTCTGCCATAGAACATAACTGAACACATCAATTTAGTTATGACTGGTCCCAGCACATTATCGTCTCATGATTGCTGATGATAAATTCCATGAAGTGATTCAAGTGAGCGCAGTTTGATCCAATACTCAAATCTTATTTTAGAAGTACTCATGAATGGTGTAGCAAACTTGCTGCTATGCCTAAATCCTTAGACAATCCTACAAACCAACTCATGACAATCTTCTTTCATACCTACGTCCAAAGTATGATCGACTGTGGATAGTTTGAATAAATCTTATTATTTTGGAAGTTAAAACATGCGAAGTGAAACAATAGTATATAATGGACACAAGACAATAACTTTACTTGTAAATGAAACTCATTTTATTTAAACATCAAATGTCAATTACAATTTAGCTATTACAAGTTTCGGTTTATCTAATCACTAAAACTAATATTGTCCTTTAGCCCAATTCCCCTCGCATGCTGCAAATGCTTAAACCTGGTCAGTCCCTTTGTAAGGGATCTGTTGGGTTGTTCTCTGACGATATCCTCTTCACCACGAGGTGCCCTTATTCTACTTGATGTCATATGAATTGGTACTTTCTGTCGATATGTCTCGATCTTCCATGATCTCTCGATTCCTTGGTTAAGAAAACCGCTCCTTCGTTATCGTAGATATTTCCACATGCTCTTTTATGGATGGAATAACTCTAAGGTTTCCGATGAATTTTTTCAACCATATCGCCTCCTTCGTTTCTTCGCTTGCTAATATATACTTTGATTCACACATTGAATCAGCTACAGTCTCCTGCTTGGAACTTTTCCATGTCACTGCTCCTCCATTCAGGGTAAATATCCAGCCAGAATGAGAGCAAAAATTATCTCTGTTGGTCTAAAAGTGTGTCGCTATATCCTGTTACTCTCAAGTCATCACTCCCACCGAAGGTAAGGACCCAGTCATTAATCCTCCGCATGTACTGAAGAATATTCTTAACAGCGGTCCAATGGGCTTTACCAGGGTTCCCTTGATATCTACTGACCATGCTCAAAGTAAATGCCACTCAGGGCGAGTACAAGTCATAGCATACTTGATCGAACCAAATACAGAAGCATATGGTATATGACTCATTTTTGCTATCTCAGCCTTTGTACTCGGACTCAGAGTCTTACTCCGTTTGGTATTTCCTTGGATAGGTAAGTCACCTTTCTTGAAGTTCTCCATGCTTAAACGTTTCAACACCTTGTCCAAGTGGGTACTTTGACTAAGTCCTATTAGTCTTTTACTTTTGCTTCTCAATATCCTTATCACTAGGATATAGGCAGCTTCTCTGAGGTCCTTCATATCAAAACACTTCCCAAGCCAGGACTTAACCTCCTGTAACATTGGGATTTCATTTCCTATGAGCAGTATGTCATCGACATACAATACCAGAAAGCTCACTATACTCCCACTAGCTTTAACATAAACACAGGATTCATCTTCTCTTCTCGAAAATCTGAACCCTTTGACTTTCTCATCGAAAAAAAGATTCCATATACGATATGCTTGTTTCAATCCATATATGGATTTCTCAAGCTTACACACTCTATTAGGGCACTTTGCATTGACAAAACCCTCTGGCTGACTCATATAAACATTTTAAGCCAACTTTCCATTAAAGAAAGCGGTTGTGACATCCATTTTCCATATTTCATATTCATGAAATGCAACTATGGCTAGCTTAACCCTTATAGAATTAATGTTCGCTACTACTGAGAAGGTCTCACCATAGTCAACTCCCGGAGTTTGAGTAAAGCCCTTCGTAACCAGTCGTGCCTTATATGTGTGTACATTCCATCCATGTTGATTTTCTTCTTGAAGATCTATTTGAATCCGACTGTCTTATGACCCGATACATTGTCAACCAAGTTCCAAACTTGATTGTCATACATGGAATGAATCTCGCTTTCCATAGCCTATTTCCATTTAGCAGACTCAGGGCCTTTCATTGCTTCCAAGTAGTTATTAGGTTCATCCATATTTATCAATGTGTTATCACTGATAAATGTGTCACCCTCAGATGTTATATGAAATCCATATAACACAGGTGGAACACTAACTCTACTGGAATGCCTCGGAGGTAGGGACTTGTGAATTGGTTCAATAGGAGTTTCCTCCTTGGCTTGAGGGCTAGTGTTTGAGGTTCCTTTATCACTTAACTCTTGAAGCTCTTCAAGGTAAATCTACGTCCCACTGTTCCCTTGGCATATAAGTTATCTCTCACGAAAGACTCATCTCCTTGCAATGAAGAAAACATTGTCACTCAGTCTATAAAAGAGATAT